GGGTTAACACTCAAGAATCAAGAGTAATTTAAAATGTTCACACTACAAAGTTGAGCAAATGTTTTTTGTTACACTTGATATGTTTTACTTTCAAAGACACTACCACATCACAAAATCTTTTGGTTTGTGACGAACTAGTACACACTTTGAACATCACATTCTCTTCATTCAGGGTTGCTACAACTACTTGAAACAATGATTTTAGAAACGGCTTAAATTCTGCAATCTCTGCTTGAAGTTTATCAGGACAGCATTAATTACTCAATGTTGTCCGCTGCCTTTAAGGACAGGTAATTATGTTCAATTGCTTGTCTGTCTTTTAGGTAAGTATCTTATGATTCACAGATTAGATATGGATAAAACATAGAAAATAATAATTAGGTCTATATCTACAACTGATAATTGGTTGGATTTGCCCAATTCAAAATGGTATCAACCCAGCCAACACAAAAATAGCTTGGTCAACAAAGTAAACTAAAACTTGGTGTAGTACTAGTAGCTGAGAGTCATCCTGATCACATAGCCTGAGCACTAACAAGTCAACCTCTTATTTATTTATTTATTTATTTATTTATTTATTTATTTATTTATTTAGCAAGGCAGCGGGCAATATGGATTTCTTCAATGAAGACCCGTTCTTCAATTAAAATAAATTTTGGGTAACAAATAATAACCACTTAGCATAATAAAATGTTGTATGTTTGCTAATACCTATTCTAATGTTTTCACATTTATTTTCACAATTATCTAATGAATAAAACAGTTTTGTCTCCTTGTTGATATGTTGTTTTTTTCTTCTTCTTCGTTTCAGATGAAACACAAGGTCACACACTTAGTAAAAGTTGTATCTTCTCACAGTGTTGTGCAGTACGGGTCTTTGGTTTCGAGAGGTCCTGGATAAAAATACGGAAGGTCCCAGACCCTGTTGCGTGTGAATGAATCAGAGTGCCGCATGGCTCGATCCACATACCCAGAGACTGTTGGGATTTCTTCTCTTTGGCGGTCTCCACAGTTGGGCACTGTGGGTGTGACAAAGCCCTGCTTCATTTTGTATCGACTAGTCCAACCCTTCATTGGGCTGCAGTGTGTTAGCTGCGCTGAGAGGTCATCCTCTTCGTTGTCTTCTCTTTGGCTCAGGAAGTCCATCAAGACTTGCTTGAAGACAGCCGCCATCTCCCAGGGCCTTACGTTGTTAGTGGCAAGCACTTCACGAAATCTGCAAAAGTACACATTACATCAGTGTTATTGAGGACAACAAAATACTGTTTTATCTTTTTTTTAATTGTTGTGCTTCTTTGTTGCGATAAATAGTGGGGTTGACAATTTATTGGGGTTTGCTTATATACTGATTTTAATTACTCTACACATAGTGGTATAATTTTATTATTAGGAGAACTGTAATATCTGTTAAATGTGATCATTTTGCTTAATGATGATTTTATATAGATACATGCCTGAACATAACTGAACCGTTAATCTTCATTAGGTCAGATTATTTTGTGTGAGGACATGGCTTCAGTAGTGTGTTAGGGACCCCACCCTGATGATGTAATAAAATAGGCGGAGTCGTGTCCTGGCCATACTGTTATATTGAACTGACTTCCGGAAAACGGTGCTGAACGCAGACCAATAAAGGCCTTCAGACCGAGCTGCTCTGTGGTGGTGTGTGAACTCTTTATCTATTCAATTTCCATGCATTGGTACATTTTCGGTGTGGTTCAAGCACATAAAATGGTAAACGAACACGCTTAACAATATTTTCTCTCAGGGTATATATTGTTTATTCAGTTGTTTGTCTCATAATTTTAAAATAACATACCTAGGTTACCAGGACATATTTATGAAAATGGTGCAAAAGCATAATGACCCACATCTGAGTGAATGTTATTCTTTAGTATTGTGGTTATGTAAGTCCATAATAATGACCTGGAAGTGAGTTTTGTGGGTAAGTAGTAAGTGGGTCACAGCGCTGTGCAGCGCTCTTCTGGCTTTTTTTCTTTCTGGTTAACAGCTGTGTGGAAACCCCAGCAGTCTGGCTTTACTAAACCCTACAGGGTGTCTTCACCTTCGCATGTTAACACAGTGTCTGTGACAGTAACRCAAAATGGCTTGTTTGACAGCGTACTCTGGTTTACTTTGCTTTAGGTCTTTTCTAGTTTGTTGGCGGGCYTTGTGCAGTTGCAGTAGAAGCTATATATTGTTGACAACATTCTAATATAACAAGAAAGAAAAGGGTAAACACCTGGAGAGGACGACAGCTGTGTACATAGGTGGAATTTGGGCACATAAGAACTCCAGCTGGTGTAGCTCTGTTGAAGGAATGAGGTTTTGTAGTTTGGGGTATTTCTGGAACCAGCGGAGACCCAAGGCATTGTGGGTCAGCCTGTGCTCCCGCTCCAGTTGTCTCGCCAGCCGTTCGCGTTCTTCAACATGCCACAGGAGCTCTGTGATCAGCATGCGGCTGGGCACGACCCCTGAGCCTTTCAGCCACTGCGTTTCATCTGGACTCTGCTCTTTCCTCTCAGGTGACCATTTCATCCAGCTGAATAGAGGCATGGCGTGTTCTACAAAAAAAGCCTTCAAAATGAGATGAATATGAATAATTTCAAACTAATAACCTTTTAATTTTATTTTTTTTTTACAACTGTGCTATTTAAATACATATACATACATATACATTGGAATATTTCTTGGTTAGACTAGTGTTAAAGTTGYAAATGACAGCATTAATATAATAAAATGCAAACACAGCCAACTAAATWAGTATATTTTAAATGTGAAACAAAGTTGGAAGCATAATGAACCTGAGAGAAATGTCAAGTAAAAAGCAGATGAATGCATTTACACATTTCTTTCAAAAATCYTTTGTTCGTACTAAAACTGGGTCATACTTTCAACTGAAGAGAATTGTGAGTAGAATAACAAAATACTACGATTCTCAGAGATACAATGAATTTGTCATTTTTGTGCAGAGCTTTAGTGACTCCATTTGTAAGGTTGACACTGAAGGATGATCACCGTATAATCATTGTGACCTTTTGTTTCTGTCTGTCTGGCTGTTTTGATTGTAGCTCCTTCAAACTTGCTAAAGGATGATTTACTGCATGTGTAATTTACTTTTCCTTCACCAAGATAGATGATCTACACAGCGTGCAAGGTCAGAGGTCACCCTCTGATAAATTTTATGTGCTGGTTAGACAACAGAGGTTTAACGTATGTGCTCCTTAAAAATATGGAATTAAAAAAAGCCACTGCAAATCTTTTATCAAGACAAAAGAGTAAGTGTAAAACACAAACCAACCTGAAAATTCAAAGAGAGAATTTGTACTTACTGGATAAAATAATGCACTGTTGACACTTGTGRGAGTTTTAGGGATTCGGCCGAGATGACTTTTTCACATAAGGTACACTCCAGGTTCTTTCTTCCATGGACCAGGTGTTGAAATTGTGACTCCGTTAACCGCTGTCCGTGTGCCCTCTCAGTGTCAGAT